GGGTGTGATATGATAGGTTGGCGGAAGAGAAAATAGTTTAAACTATGGAAACTGATCCTTGATGAATCGAACATAACGCGGGACATATATTCTTTGAGACACATGATCATAACATTTATATACTTTAATGGTGGGATGATATCCCAGGAAGACACACAGAGTATAGCAGGGCTGAAGTTTGTGCTGGGTGTGAGGTCGAAGCCATGGATAGACCAGACAACCAAAAGGACGAAGGTGGGTATATGTAGGAAGATGATGATAGAGAACCTCAAAATGAGATTTCTTGGAGAGATTTTTGGTGGGCATACGATTGATAAATTAATTAGCGGTGGCAAGTGCTTCGACCCAAAAGTTAGTTAGAAAAGTAGATTCGTAAAGAAGAGAAATAACTTCTCCAATAAGATGATGGTTTTTTTGTTCCGCGACTCCATTTTGCTCAGGAGTACAAGGACAAGAGGTGTGATGAAGAACTCCTTAAGATTGATGAAATAGCCCAAAAGCAGTTCACGAATTTCATTCCATTAGCACTTTGAAAAAAATTAATGGTAGAATTAAATTGAGTTTTAATCATTTTTTCAAAACTAACAAAAATAGAGTACGCTTCAGACTTTTGTTTCAAAGGCTAAATCCATGTGAATTTGCTAAAACCATCAATAAAGGAGATATAATAACGAAAACCACTAAGAGAAGTAACAGAAGGTAGACCCCAAACATCAGAATGATTAAATGAAATGGCGCCATGGTCTTATGTTCTGGAAACTCAAAAGGTAAACAACATGACTTAGAGATTAAACATGATTCACAATGCAACGGTTCTTAAAATTAAAAACCTAGCGTAGGCAAAATAGATTTCGCGGTCATGTGAAGTGGATGACTGAGTCTATGATGCCAGGTAGACGCTTGGATAGCTTGACACACAAGATGATGGTTTGGAGGGAGGGATCTATAGACCATGCTCATAGAGGCCCTTGTACCGCACTTGGTTTGCAGTGTTGTCCACTATCTGAAATTCATTGGCATTAAAAATAAGGGTGCAGTTGTTATCTTTGGTAAAACGATGGACAGATAACAAAATAGATGTAAGGGAAGGGACATAAGAATGGTGGGGGTTGGTATTTACCATTGGATGTATGTACAAAGCCTAAGCCAGTGTGTATGATGGGTAAGGTTGACCATTGCCTATAGTAATAGTATCAGTGCCATTATATGGATGAGGAGATTGAAACGGAGAATAATCAGACGTAATATGAGTGTTGGCACTAGTGTCCAGATACCAATCTCAAGAGTGATTGCTTGTAGACGCATGCATCGCACATGGTGCACTTTTAGAAGAGCTCGCACTATAAGAGTCATCGAAACGATACCAGCACGGTGTGGCCGAATGTTCTCGTTTATCACAAATCTGATACGTTGGAAGATCTGTTATATCCGCGTCGAGAGGATGGTCGTTCACGGTAGCCCCCTCGACCACGACCTCAACCATCTATAACAAGTAGAGAATTATGCGTCCCTCTAGCAGAAGAATCAACTAGATTCAATGTTTGCTTCATCTCAATGTTAGTTTCTTCCGAAGTCGCATCTAGAAAGCTGATTGAGAGTGATGTCGCTATTTTGCAGACGAACATTTTTTTTGAATGAAGAATATTTGGGAGGGAGACCACGGATAACTGCATTGACAACATCTCGTTCAGGAATATATTCACATAAAACATCAAGATCAACAAGAACTATTGCGGCTTCATCAAGGTATTGAGATATGGATTTGGTACCTTTCCGCAAAGTATGTAGCTTATCACGGAGTTGATAATTATGAACGGTGGAAACTGAATTATACCTTGTTTCTAATGCTTCCCACAAGGCAGCAGAGGTGGTGAAACCACAAGCATGCTTATGAACGACATGACTATAATGACGGCAAGAGGACACGCTCGGATCTGAGTATTAATGATTGTCCAAGAGACAACGTTTGGATTTGGATTAACAACTCTATCTTTGTGAATATTTTTAGATGGGTTCTATCGGATCCATCAATCCAACGAAGAAGAAGATTTGCTTCAAGCATGAATTTAACATTTACTGACCACGCGGGGTAGAGCAGCCAAAGGAGCGGACGCCGCCGCCATGGGGAGCGACGATCGACCGTCGACGTATCATGGTGGGCTGGTGTAGAGCACGATCGAAAAAAGGGGTTAGAGATTGGGAGACCTTTTGCTCCATTACCATGATACAATTTGCTAATAATTGGTCTTCTTCAATTAAGAAGGATGCGTCCCTATTTATAGGGATTACATTAGAGCGTTCCAATCCAAGTAAGAAAAGGAATGATGTAACAAATACAAGGAAATAGAGAAATAAGGTAATTAATGAATTAATCAATAACATTCTATTTCCTAATACTTTTCCTATATGTTTTTTTCAAGTTTCTTTTCATTTTTTTTATAATGTTTTAAAAAATTTAAAATTGTTTGTGTTTGAAATAAAAAAATTAACATATGCATTGTCTCTCTCAAATTAAACATTTTCACTTTTTTTTCTAAAATAATTTTTGTAGTAAGTTCAAAAAAGGAAATCAAGAAGAAAAAAATGAAAAAAATGAAAAAAATTGAAACATGCAAAAAAGAGTCTGATATAAGAAGAAATTTTTACAATGCCTAAAAAATCCTTCAAATTGGGATGTCGAGTAAGAATATTCATTTTTATTTTTGTTTTATTTTATTTATAATGTTATTCTTCATATTTTGAAATTCTCAAAAAAGTTTTTTATTTTTTATTTTGGAAAACAAAGACTAAAAATTGTTAATTTGAGACGTAAAGATGCAACTAGTATAATATTTTTTCAAATAATTTTTTTAGTTTTAAGAACATTATAAAAATAATTTTAGAAAGAAATTTTAAAAACATTGATTAATAAAATAAACAATTTTAAGGAAAAAAGGTAAAAACAAAAAATAAAATGGTTTTGAAAAAAGACACCAATGCCCCCTTAGCTTCTTTGTCAGAAAAATGGCCAGAAAATCATCAGAGGGGTATGAGTGCAACATTCTGAAACCACGAACACTTTAAAAATAAGTTTTGAAAACTGATGGGGTATTGGTTCTTATTTTCCAAACTACTGGGGTACTAGTGTTATTTAGACTCCGTTCCGTTCAACTTATTTTTTCTGATCTGATCTGATTTTAATAAGTTCTGATCTGATCTGGTCTGATCTGATCTGATTGGATTTGATCTGATCTGATTGAATCTGATCTGATCTGATTGGATCTGATCTGATCTGGTCTGATCTGATTAATTATGATTTAATTTAAAATTTCAAATCAATAATTTAATTTGACTTTATAATAACGTTTGAAAATTGTAATGATAATTCATATTATAATATAATCAATATTTTTTATTTAATGATTCCTTTTTAATAAAATAAAAATAGTTAATTTATATATTAGAATAATCATTCATATTATAATGTAATAATACTTTTTATTTTATGATAATTTTTTTGTAAAATTAGAATTATACATTGGAATAAATATTTAATTTATATATACATTTAAAAGTAATTAAATTTAGATAATCAATATATAGAAGAGATAGTATTTTTATTAAAATATCTCATCCTTATAAAAGATCAAAACTTTAGAAACTCAAATTACAAGTAGCAATAAAAATATATTTTAAAAGTAGAATTAGATTGACATTGTCAATGTATTTTAAAACTAATTTTTCCGACGTCTAATAATTAAGGATTACTTTCTCAGCTTTTTATTTAACCTATTTCTAAAGTTTATTCTTTTTCATTTTTAAGAACAACAACAACAACAATAATAATAATAATGATGATGATGATGATGATGACGACGACGATGATGATGATCATAATAATAATAATAATAATAATAATAATAATATAATAATAATAATATAATAATAATAATAATAATAATTCTTGATGATATCTTATTTTAATAAGTCTTGATCTGATCTGATTGGATCTGATCTGATCTGATTTGAATCGATCTGATCTGATTTGATCTGATTCGATCTGATCTGATCTGGTCTGGTCTGATCTGATCTGATCTGATTTTAATAAGAATAAGAAAAAATAAGAAAAAATAAGAAAAAATAAGTTGAACGGAACGGGGCTTTAGTCATTTATTAAGTTATCAAAAAGACGAAAAATATTGCTCCGTAATTTAGAATTTTAGGTAACACGGGGTATCAAAATTGTTTAAATATTTTTTTTAGAAAAACTCAAGATAACAATGCAATATTATTGAAAACTAATTTAGAAAGAAAAGTTTATAAACTAAAAAAGACTAATAAGAAAAGATATTATCTTTTATTCATTCTTAAATTTTGTTTCTACTTTTCCATTTATCTATACGATCCAAAAAAACATAATTTTGAAAAATCCTTAATTTAAGAAACCAGTCAATTTGAATTCAAATTCGGTCAACAAAAACTTTTTCAAAGCCAAGTATTATATTTTAGGTCTAATCTCGAATTAGAGATAAGTGGGACAAATTTTGGTTTGGTCTAGCCTTAGCTTAGGCTTCGTTTGGTAACAGCGTTTTCGATTAACGTTAGCGTTTTGGATAAAATTTTAATGGTGTAGATTAAATCTAAAAACGCTAACGCTAAAGGCTACCGTCGGATAGCTTTTTGAAAACGCTAAGGCTAATCTCTAACGCTGATGCCAAACGGGGCCTTACCCATATACTCTCTTCATCCCATATTTTTCTTTGCATTTAACTTTTTACAATCTCCAATGCAACACGCTGGCTATCAATAAATCTAGACAAAAAACGAGCAATGCTAGGTCAAGTGAGGGATACACTCCACATCTATCTAATTAAAATTCAATAATATTATCTACAAAAAAATATCATTACTCTTGGGTGTATTCATTTATTCCGGTTTTGCTCAGGTCACTCGTTTAGTCTGTCTGTATTTAGTTGACTAGGTCCTTAATAGTAGTGTGACGAGAAATCATTTGATTGCAGTGAATCAAGGTCTAGCAACTCTTGCATTCTTTGGCGTAGGGGTAAACTTGGTTCTCTTCCTAACAAGAGTGATGGGCGAGAGGAATGCGGATGCGGCCAATAGTGTAAGCAAATGGACTGGCACAGTTTACATCTTCTCCCTCCTTGGCGCATTCCTTAGTGATTCATACTGGGGAAGATTCAAAACTTGTGCTATTTTCCAGATCATCTATGTTATTGTAAGTTTGCATTTGTCCCTATCACCTAAATGACTTGCTTGAGGTTATCTTTTATTCCCTCTCTTCTTGAAAAGAGTTCTACTTTTGATTAAATGGTAAAATAAAGAAGTGTGAATTTATAATTGACTTCCAATTATTCACTTGATGTGATGGATAAAAATAAGATGTAATGGATAAATTATTAGAGAAAAAATATGATGTAATAAGTATGGTAAGAAAAAGTAGGAATAAAAGGGTTTTTTAATAGAAAGTGGAATTGTTTTGTTGGAAAATAGAAAAAATAAAAGAAAAAGTGTTTTTGAGAACGTATGGAGTAGTATATATATGTACACACATGCTATAAATGAAAGACATTCTAAGATGGACCCTTTAGGATGAAACTTTTGTCTATCATAATAAACTTGATTTTGTATTAAAATATGAGAAATTTACCTAATATAAATAGTACTAAAACATAATGACTTTCCCTAAATAGCATCGTATTTTTTATTTTCCAATGTAGCACTTTTAGTCATTATCCATTAGTCATTATTCAAGTAAATGTTCACCATCATTGAATATTATTTCTCTTTCTAGACATTATTAAGTGCTATTTAGGAAATAAAATAGTTTAAGTCCTATATTAAGAAATGACTTATGTTTTGGATTATTGGATTACAGGGATTGGTCTTATTATCTTTGACAACCCAACTATACTTGCTCAAGCCCAAAGGTTGTGGTGATAAAGAAACACAATGTGGTTCACATTCAAGTTGGGTTATTGATCTGTTCTACCTCTCGATCTACCTGGTGGCTCTAGGGAATGGAGGGTACCAACCAAATATTGCCACATTTGGGGCAGACCAGTTTGACGTTGAAAACCCGAAGGAGAGGCCCTTAAAAGTGGCCTTTTTTAGCTACTTCTACTTGGCCTTGAACCTTGGATCACTCTTCTCAAATACCATTTTGGACTACTTTGAAGATGAAGGGAACTGGGCTCTTGGATTTTGGGCTTCTACTACTTCGGCTGCAGCTGCATTATTGCTTTTCCTTGTCGGAACGACAAGGTATAGGCATTTCAAGCCTAATGGCAATCCTCTTTCGAGAATTTCTCAAGTGGTTGTAGCTGCATCAAAGAAATGGAGGGTCAATGTTCCCGATGAAGACGTAGAATTTTTTGAAGTCCATCAAAATAATGATAATGGTTCAAGAAAGATGCTCCACACTGAAGGTTTCAGGTAATTCATATGCATTAAAAATACAACTATATAATGTCAGGGTGACATATATCATTTTAATGCTTTTGAATCATCTGCCTTTTATATACTCCTTCTGTTTCATAAAACTCATCTCTTTTACTTGCAGATTCTTGGACCGAGCCGCTTTCATAACACCAAAGGATGTTGAGAAGAAAGAGCAGGACCCGTGGCGTCTCTGTCCAATCTCCCAGGTAGAGGAGGTGAAGTGCATTCTACGGCTTCTACCCATCTGGCTGTGCACCATCATCTACTCCGTTGTTTTCACACAAATGGCCTCTTTATTTGTAGAGCAAGGGGATGCCATGGAGACAAAGATCTCAAGCTTTAGAATCCCGGCAGCCAGCATGTCCAGCTTCGATATCTGTAGTGTTGCATTGTGCATCTTCCTATATCGAAGACTTTTAGACCCACTCGTTGGGAGGCTAAAGAGAGGGAAGGGCGGTGATGATGTACCGTACGCCTCTAAAGGTGGGATCACTCAACTAGAGAGGATGGGTGTGGGACTCCTTGTTGCCTTTATGGCCATGCTCTCAGCTGGAATAGTTGAGTGTTACCGACTCAAGCACGCAATTATTACCGATCAATGCACCAATTGTGAAAGTGGTGGATCTAGCACCTTGAGCATATTGTGGCAAATCCCACAATACTCACTGATCGGTGCTTCCGAAGTCTTCATGTACGTTGGGCAGTTAGAGTTCTTCAACGAGCATGCACCCGACGGTCTGAAGAGCTTCGGGAGTGCGCTTTGTATGACATCAATATCGTTGGGGAATTACGTCAGCAGCCTGTTGGTGAGCATAATTATGAAAATTTCAGCCAATAATAAAATGCCTGGGTGGATTCCTGGAAACCTTAATAGAGGACATCTAGACAAATTTTACTTTCTGCTAGCTGGTTTGACTATATTTGATTTGGTAGCATACATTGCTTGTGCAAAGTGGTACAAGTGTGCAAGGCTAGGGGATAAGTATGAAAAGGGTGAGGAAAAGAATTATCAAGGAATCTAATGTAAATAATAATGCACCTCAAGGAGAAACAATATTGGTATGTCCTATGGAATCATCATTTGAATCAGAGGCCATTAGACATCAATTCCCACAAAATTAAACCCTTCCATTGTTGAAGATGTTTAGCTTTCCACTATTGCAAAGTTTTACAAGGCCTAGTATGGGAAACTATGTATATATAAGTAATTTACAAAATCGATAACTGTTGTGTACTCCGTATTATACAATCTCAAAAAATTAATGCTTAATACTCCTTCTGTCAAAAAATAATCTTTGCATTATCACAGTCTCTAGTGTAACACTTTGACCATTAATATCTACATTTATACATGAATATGTTTTATGAAAAATTGATATTTCAAAACTATGTTTTCAAAGAAAACTATTGTTATTACATTTATATTGAAACGCAATGTATTTTTTCATAAATCAATGTCAGTTTACAAATTTTGACAAAAACGGTGATTGACAAATTAGTTCAGGCTGTCCTGAAAAATATTCCCTCTGTCCCAAAAAGTTTGTTACGTTTAGAAAAAACTGTGTCCCGTAAAGTCCGTTACATTTCTATTAAAAAATCACTTTTACCCCTTACTTTTTCATACCCTACCTATCATATCATATTTTTTTCTAATAATCTACCCATCACATCCTACTTTTACACATCACATCAAAGGTATTTTTGGAAAGTCAATACCAAAATATTCCTCCCTTAATTTTCCAAAAAGTCAAACCGTCCCATTCTTTTTGGGACGGAGGGAGTACTATGCTAAAATATTTCCCAAAAACCTACTACCTCTCTTCTCTCGTTCTCTTAGGCCTTGAGAAAAATACACTCAAAGCTTCTCAAAGAAGCCACACACCAATGCCCAAAATATTTAGGCCTCACTACATTACAAAAGTAAAGGATCACCGGGATCCTAGGGTGAGAGATCACCGCAAGCTAGTGAGAAGTCTAGAAAGAGAAAGTGCAATAAAAAATGATTGCGTCATTAAGGGGCTGTTTGTTTCAGCCTCTTAATGGTTCAGATGTCTGATTCAGCACTTAATGGTTCAGACTGTTTGTTTCAACCTTTTAATGGTTCAGATGTCTGAATGGTTAAGAGATTTGCCTCTGAATGGTTAAGTATTATACAGAGTCTGAATGATTAAGAGCTGTTATCTGAATTGATCAGACATTTGCCTCTGAATAGTTAAGCAATATACTAGCTCTTAATGGTTCAGACCTCTTACTGATTCAGCACTTAATGATTCAGACCTCTTACTGGTTCAGCACTTACCCATTCAGAAGTTGCCAAACAGCCCCTAAGTGTTACTTAGTCTAAATGACCATCCTCCTCCAGAATGCTGGAGGTGTTGGATATTTAAGCCATAAAGGCCAATGTGTGTTAATATATGTGAAGATTTATCAAGAAAAAAAGACCATAAAGATTTTTTATACATCTCGTGTATCTAAACATAGTTTTCGTCCATAGACTTAGCGCTATAGTGGTAGAACTACGAAGTTCTGATCATGAGATTGTTACATTTATAGAGGCTATGTCTAAAGTTTCCTGAGTTGAATGATATAATAATACGGACATCATTACTAAGACTATTACATATGAGACAAGATAGATGCATCTCATAGGCTATGGGTATTGTGATATCTCAATCTATACGTACATACATATCTGGAGATATGGTACCAAACTAACCCACCATGAGAATACTGCATAAGTATTATCCATCCATATCCGCACCATTCGGTACAGGGAGAAAACCCATAAAAATGTCATAATTCAAAATTTATGTTTCAAGAAGATGTAAGGACATCATCTTTCACGCCAAAATCATTTTTTGTCCGCACAAAACACACAAACATGAGAGCATAAACACGCCTGATCGTTGGAGTATTTGTGCAAACAAAAATTGATGTTGGCATCAAAGGTGGTGTTAAAATTGTGTTTTAGTTTCCTTCATGAAAACATTTATCAGCAGCTTTGGACTTTGCGAACTTGTATGTGGTGAGTAGATTTTGTACGCCAGATAGGTTGCGCACCACTCTGAACAAGGGTGACAAACTGCCCTTCGCTAACAAGGCCCTTACCCTAGGAAAGAGGGGGAACCCAAAAAAAAGGTTACGTAAATCACAGTAACGAAGCATGCGAAGGGAGAAAATGTAAGATGACTAACCAATAGAAGCTTCAGTGCTCGGGAAAACGTCTCCTCTGAGTCATTTGAGAACTCCATATACACAGGCATGACGCCCTGGTAGAGAGCGAGCCTCTGCTTCAACCTTTGACTGTAGCAACATGAAAAAGAAAGTGCAAGAATAGGTCACATTTGTCTGGTCATCCTTCACAAAAAGTTTTTAAGAATGCAGAAATGATTTGAAGAGGTGCGAAAATGAGACTTTTTAAAGTAACACTTGTATGTGTTGCATATTCAATGAGATTGTCACTTAAGAAAGTCTAATTTTCATGTCTATATAGAATTAATCTTTTACAATGAGACATGCCTCACTATGGTTTTAAAATTTAAAAAGGGTAACTTACTTGTTCGTGAAAGCAAAGATGGTTGAGTGAGGACGATAATGGCTTAAAATTACAGCCATTGAACCAGTTCTTGTGAAGACAATGATTGGTGTATTAAGTGTATTGGCCATTGTGCTTGAATGCAAAGCAAACATCTCTCCCATATGGCCCTGCAAAACAAAAGTTGCCCAAAAATATGAATGGAACCTCAGTCTTATGTAAATCAAAATATCAAATACGAGTAGAATAAATTTTCAGGAATTTCCTTGCTCGGGGATCAAATTGCATGCCTGCATTTGTAATCTTATGGTACAATGATAATGAAAATAATATGCAAAGAAGAGAAAAAAAGGCAATGCACACCTTGTGCAAAGCTGATTGGTCTGGAGAAGGTGTTCTTGTGGATAAAGTTGATTCAGTCCTCAAAGCTACAGTATGCATTACATTGACGGCCTTCAATGGATACCTATTATTGACAGAAGCAAACCTTTTCACTCATAGGACAAACAATTCACAAGCACCTGATGAACACAAAACTGGTCAAATTGAGCTGTCTTCTCAAAATAGGCAAATACATGAAGTCAGACAACCAACAGAAAAGCTGCAATGTTGTCATTGGGAGACATATTTCTGAATTGATTCTGAGCAAATAACACCTGATTTTGTTCTCTCCTTGGTGGCTAGAAAGTTTCGTCTACATTACAGGTCTAATTAAGAGAACCATTCTCAAAAGAAAAACAAGCATAATGCAACACATACTATCATGGAAAAAAATGAACATCAACTGCAGCCTTAGACGCAGAAGATTATGTCTTGGTATTGCTACAGTCCACCATGCAACCATATTTTTGGAGTGCAAATTTCAGGGCAGAGAAAGCAGAAAATATTACCGATTTCCAACGGAAAATCTGTATTAAAATTATGAATAAAATAAGAACACAGAACTTACTTTCCGTTGGCAGTTTCCCCAGAAAGCATTATTGCATCAGCTCCTTCTCGCACAGCAACAGCAATGTCAGAAACTTCAGCCCTAGTAGGAGTTGGGTGGTTAATCATGCTTTCAAGCATATTTGTCGCTACTATAACTGGCTTTCGCATGCTTCGGCACCTTTTAGTGATGTCTTCCTGTTACATAAAACCATCATAAAGTAGTCCTATAGTTTTGAAGGAAAGAAAACAAGAAAAACCTAAAATAGGTCGCATAAAAATGGGTAGACCAAAAAGATTCATTAGGCAGTAATTATTATTTTCAAGAAATTGTGTCCACAATAATCCTCAAGTTCAATCAACGTTTAAAATATCTGGTCATTGGGTACAAAAGATATATACAATTGGTCCTACAATGAATTGAATAGTGGGCAATATGGTAAGGAATTAAACTTCGTTGACACCAAAGAATGAACTCACGCACAACCCAAAAAAATAGTTTGTGGGATGTCAGCGAATTACGGATTTGGTGTAAATCACGACACATGGGGTAACCAAGAAGGGTCCATTCTAAGAACTAAAAGTTGTTTCATCATGATTTAAATTTAAATATTTAGCCCCATAAACAATGCAGGCATAACATTAGCTTTCCCCTTTTTTTGTCTTCAATCAACATAGAAAATGTCATCCATTAAGAACTAAAAGATGAGAAAAATCAATAATTAAGCCCATGATACCTGCAGTAAAGGAACTTCTTCTATTGGGAGCTCAGAACCAAGGTCACCTCGTGCCACCATTGCCTACCGTCAATAGCAACTTTCAATCATTATTTGACAAAAATATGATAAATTTAAAATTATACTATGGCCACCGAGACTATTTGTCTCGTTCGACTTTTTCCAATCAAATTGGACAAACATTGACTATTAATTAAATAAAAATTGCATTGCGTAACAATACAAAAATGATTTCATTAGATGTACATTGCGAAAAAACATTCAATGAAATATATCATTGTATCAATATGCAATGCAATCTCTATTTGTTAATGATCAAAGTTCGTCTTCGTTTGACTAAAAAAGTCAAACAAAACATTTTTTTTGGGATGGATGGAATACTATATTGCTTAATGAGAATTCATTGTAATCATTAAAACAGCATGAAAAACAAACAAAAAAATAGAGAAATAAGGTTGAAAATTCGTCATAATTAAGGACAACCACTTAAGTGTTTCAAGATGTATTAAAGAAAAATGCATTGTCTTGTTTCTAGGTTATCCGAGGACAGGTGGGAGTGGCACCGGTAAGGGATAAGTTGCAGGAAGCTAGGTTGAGGTGGTTTGGACGTGTGAGAAGGTAAAGTGATGAGGCCCCCAAGCTCAAGTATGAGAGGCTCACGGTAGTGGGTGAGAATAGGGAAAGGGGAGCCCTAAAAAGAATTGAATAGAGGTGATAAGACAGTACCTAAGACTTCTGAACATTTACGAGGATACGGCCTTAGATAGAAATACTTGGAGCGCTACGGTTAGGGTAGTTGGCTAGGCGTTTTGGATGGGGGGGGGGTAGTTTTCTCGTTAACTGTTGTGTGGTTTTTATGATTGGTGCTTTCTTTTGCAATTTCTTTCTCTCATTAAATTCAGTTGTTCTTGGCTTTCCATGATCTATGATTTTTTCTGCTCTGTGTCTTCTGCGAGATCGTGCTATAGATGTTACTTGAGATAGGAGCCTCTTGGAAAGAGGCTCTCTACTTTCGAGTAGGGGTATGGTCTGCGTACACAGCCTCCAAACACCCCACATTGACTTCTTACTGGTCAATAGATACGTGATAATAATCTTTCGCTTTTACAATCAGCTATTATACATTCATCGTTAACCAAGAGAATTAAAATAGGGCCGGACAAAGATACAAATGCTGAAATACATTTTTTTGCTAATAATATGCAAAAGAATAATGATTATATGTATTTGTTTATAATATAGGACTATATGTGCATACATAAAATGGAATGAAGGGAACAGAAAAAACAACTAACCCCATCTGAAGCTGAAAGGATGCTGTGCAGATTTGGTATAGCATCAGCACTTTCAATTTTTACAATCACGTGAATATCAGCATCGCAGCCTGCAGAAAAGATCCACAGAAATCAAGTGAATACCATAACAAAATCTCTTCAATAAAGTGTCTGAATTAGAAAGAGTAGACAAACTTCACTTTTAAGATATTCTTTCAACTCAAGGACAGCATCGGCATCCTTTACAAAAGAAACAGCATAGAAATCAACTTCATTCTCCACGCCAAACTTGATATCATCCCAGTCTTTTTCTGTTGAATGGTGTTAAAAATCTTAAGTAGCAAGACAAATAGCACTTGCTATTGGAAATATGATGCTAACTAAAACATATCAAACCTGTTATTGAAGGCAATGTTGCACTCTTCCCGCGTACATTTAAATGCCTCCTTGACTTTAGATCTCCACCATCAATGACTTCACATCTTACCAAATCATTTGTCTTCGATTTCACAGCCAATGAGATCATTCCACCTAGCATAGTGAACAAAAAGTATTTCCTGAATTTATCAATAAATTCTGAAAGCTTTTTCGAGAATCAAATCTAGGTTCATTGCTTACAAGGACAAGCAACAAGAAATCCAGTAAAACCACACAAAAAGTATGATCTAGGGAGGATGTGTGTATGCAAACCTTAACCTTACTATAATTCAAAACTTAAATAATTAAAGTGCGCTATTGGTTCATTTGGAAACAACAAACCAAATGATGCTCTAAAGATCAATTGTTGCAATTAACCACACACAAATGTGTCTATTGAAAAGGATTCACAAGCAGTAGCGCAAACATACATAAAATGACAACTGTTTACTACAAAACATAAAACCAATACGTGCTCAGGTAAAATAGCATCTGAAATTGATAAATAAAAAGCCCAAACAACAATAATAGATATGTAGAGTACTATTTCGTTTAAACCATGTGTCACACTAAAACCCCACTGTGGAATCCACTATAATTGTACTTCATCCACATTCCTCACTGAAACGTTTGATCTAAAACTTTAGTATGTTAACACTTACAGCTGAAAGTTACAAATACGAGCATAACATATATGATGATGCCAATAAAAGTAAAAATAATACTCCCTCCGTTCCACAAAACCCTTCAACAACAACAACAACCCAGTTAAATCCCACAAGAGTAGGGTCTGGGGAGGGTGTGTGTACGCAGACCTTGCCCCTACTTGAAAGTAGAGAGGCTGTTTCCAAAGAGACCCCCGGCTCAACATCGAAAGTTGCATTGCTTGACTAACTGCTACTTCATTAATTAAAGAAGCGCAGATAGTTTAGAGATCCATTTTGATTTATTCCATCACACCCCAAAGCCAAAAAATGGTGAAATTTTGGCTCCATCGGAGATGATGGAAACCCTTCCTCTTTCGGTTTTTTTGCTTTCCACAAAACACTTCCACTTTCAATTAAAAAACCACTTTTACCCCTACTTTTTCATACCTTACCTATGACATCATACTTTTTCACTAATAACCAAACTATCTCATCTTACTTTTTCCCATCACATCAGGGGCAAAATTGGAAAGTCAACCAAAATTACACTTTCCTTATTTTTCCCCAAAGTCAAAACCGGAAGGGTTTTGTGGAACGGAGGTAGTAATAAATCAGTAATGATAATAAACATAGTAAAAATAACAATAATCAGAATCATCATAATTGTATAAAACAAAATTAAAGGTTTTTCGGTGAATCAATTACCGTCAACAAGAAGAATGTCTCCAGCATCAACATCATTTATGAAATCATCATAATTCACGCTAACAGTGTCAACCGTGCTCACTCCTTCTTTTATGGTGAAATTAAACTCTTGACCCTCCTTGAGATCAATTGGATGTGCCACATCACCGCTTCTCACCTCTGGTCCCTAAGTCATATATCAAAAGAATCAATTTATACAGGTGTGAGCAAGTCCTTCTAAACCAGTAATTAATCCAACATCTGCCTATATATTACTCACTACATAGCAAAAAAATAGAAATTGAAAAACACCATAAAGCATAAAATATACTCTAGTCTGACTATATAGTACTCCGTAACTAAAAAACAAATTTTGGCAATTCAAAAACAGGTTAAAGCATAACTACACTCAAGGCACCAGCAGAAAGAGCTCAAGTTATTAATGCTTACAACACCAGTACAAACTACAAAGTATGGTGTTTCTTTCATAGGGAAAGTCTATGTGTTTTGCGGTCATGTTACATCATGCAAAGTTTCTTCAATTAGATTTAGTAGATTCTACACATCAAATTGTAAAAATGACAATATCATACCTTTGTGTCAAGCATTATGGCAATAACCTTTTCATCAAATTGTGCATTATATTCTTTAACAATGTCAATAGTTTTCTGGTGTGATGCATGATACCCATGAGACATGTTTAGACGTGCAACATTCATTCCGGCTTCTGCCAATTTCCATATCATCTCACGTGAGCTTGTTGAAGGACCAATAGTGCAAACTATCTTTGTTTTCCTTTGAGCATTCAGATAGTCATTTCCTGACTGCAAACCTTTTTCACTTGACTGAAACAAGCAGACTAATAAATTCTCATGGTTTTTTTAATAGAAGGCATACAAAAGAATAAGAAAAGCAACAACTTTAAATAAAACTTATGATCGAACATGAAATCATAAGCATAGTAGCCACATAACAGTCATTGGTTAATAATTTATCATTTATCAATCGACTACTCCCATTTATGTACTATCATCTTCAGATTAAGTGCATCAAAACATTCATAAGACAAGGAATGAAATTTATGTTACACAATGGCGTTCAATTTCTAGCTAAAACTATATTAAAAAATGGTAATGGTGAGTCAAAACATATAAATCCTTCCAAAAATTTGAATTCACGGACTTACAGAGGATGCAGCACCGTTAATGGAGGACAATTTCACGGCATTACAATTCACGGACTGAACTAGGTTCCGAATTGGAGCTCGTTTCCCCGCATCCAGAAGGTACGACAACGAAGTGCTGTTGGCGATGCTTCTAGCCGACGAGAGGCGACCGTAGGATCGGGCCGGGTCGCACTTCAGCGAGCACAATCCGGCAGGAAGATTTATCGTCGACATTGCGAAGAGAGATTGGGAGAAGAAGCAGAGCGAATGCAGAAGTGCCCTCCTCTGTGGCTATTGGATGTATATAGGATCGGAGGAGAAAGAGAGATCGGTCCGGCGTTAATATCGAGGCCGGGAAGAAGAAGTGGCGGTTAGGGAAGCGTGACGAAGGCGCAACAGAAATGCGTAGAGAAGGACGATGGATAGACAGGGAACACAACTCTGCCCTACAAGCCACGCGTCGTCTGTAGATGATTTCTAAGCGCTCGCTATAGTGATCGCCATTTGTCACGTGTAATTGAATTGGTGCAAAGAAAAACAAAACAAAACAAAACAAAAAGGACTCTTCACTAAAAACGAAGATTAGAAGCTAGAACATCATACTTTTTTTGTCATTTGTGCCATAAAACTTTTTCCACTTTTATTAAAAAAAATTAAAGTAATTTCATAATTGGTCCTTTATAATAAGGAGTTTCTATATTTAGTATTCTATTATTAAATATTACCTCCGTAGTTTTCCTATTATAGGTTCTTTTCTGCAAATGGTCTTTTTTTGTCTTCTTTCATGTTGGTGTTAATTTAAAGGCTAAAAGTATAGTTTGACGTCAACCTTATTGTTAAATATATATAATATATTTAATATTATTATATTATTATTGTTACCATATTTGTATAGGTTTCCTAGATTGTCTCTCCTACCATATTTAGGATTGAGACTTTTGTATATATACATGTACTCTCCTCACAATTTAATCAATGAAAATAATCTTTCTTCATGGTATCAGAGCCCTAACCAAAAACCCTAATCTCCCATCTCAACTTTCGGCCTTCCTCCTCCGCCGATCCACCGGCGCCGCCGCCCTCCCTCTCTTTCTCTCTCGGCCGGCCACCTCCTCCTTCTTACCATGGCCGAAAGTGAGGTCACCTCTCAGTCTACCACCCAAAAACCTCCCCACCTAGCATTCTATGTCTCCAACGTCAAATTACATGTCCCTATCCAACTCAGTTTTTCTCAACCAAACTATAAAAAGTGGAGCCGCCTGTTCCTTCTTCTTGCACGACGGTTCAACCTCCATGGCTATCTTGACGGCTCCATCGTCCCTATCTCCGACGACGATGGTGAATGGTTTCAACTTGACGCCATTCTCTAGGATTGGATTCTCTCCACCATCACGGATGAAGTCTCTGATCTGGTTATTTCCTCCGTCTCTACTGCCTCTGCTCTCTGGAAGATGATTCATGATCTGTTTCATGATAACAAACATGCTCGCGCCATGCAACTCGAGCACCAATTCCGCACCACGGTCAAGGGATCCACCCCCATGGCCACTTATTGTCAAGAACTCCGAAATATTGAGGATTGGTTGGACGACGTCGACGCTCCCGTCTCAGAGCACCAATTGATTCTTCAAATGCTACGCGGCCTCCCCGATGATCTCCAGGCTCAGACCTCGTTCCTCCAATTTCAGGATCCCATGCCGAGCTTTCTTCAGGTCCGGTCGGCCCTCCTCCTTCTTGACCGGCAACGGACCCCCCTGGGCGGCACCAGCAGCACGGCGCTGCTGGCAAGGCACGGCGGCAGTGGCTACACCAGCGTACAGCATAGCGGCAATGGCGGGGGCGGATCCGGCAGCAACTTCGGCAGTGGGGGGCACTTTTTTGGCAGCAACTATGGTGATGGTTCCTCCTCCGGGCAGCGTGGTGGCTTTGGACGCGGACAAGGGCGTGGCAACGGCAACCGAGGCCGTGGTCGAGGGCGCGCAAACGGCGGATTGAGACAGCGACCACAACCGGATGGGCACAATACCTGGAACTCACCGTACCTAAACCCTAGCCCTGGGGTGCTGGGTCCTCGGCCCGCCCCCGCCCACTACCCATACCC